ATGGTTTATTCAAGTGGGCAAAATATAATGTATAGATAGATTGCCCGTATACACTGAAAAGTAAGCAACCGACAGCCTGTATAAAAGGGGGTCTGTGATTGGCTGTTACTTACGCGAGATTTGAACGGGACTTACATAGGCGTCGGATCAGATGTAGGTAGGGCGGAATTTTAAAAAAATCAAAGTAAAATAATAAATAAAAAGGGCATTAATAACAAAAGTAATGAAAAATAAAATTAAAATAAGTTTATAGCTAAAATAATTAAAGCCCGCACACTACATCAGATTTTAATCAGATTGCCTATTAACCATACTGACCAAGTTTGCCATGTATAAACATTGTTTTAAAAAAAAAAAAAAAAAACATGTAAGAGCCAGGCATAAAGTCCAGTCAAAACACAAGAAAATTTACATGCCAAATATTGGCACATTAATTTTGTTGTGTTTTGCCAATGAATCGCAAATATTGGTAGGCATGATTAAAGTCTTGAAGAGTAGTTAAACACTCAATTTTTAGTAGAACTTAGACAGTGCAAGTTCTTTGTGCTATCCTCTTTTTCAGTAACCCCCCCCCCCCCCCCAATCCTGGGATACTGTAAAACGATTAATTTTTAGGTGGGTTTAAATTTCACTGATTTACTATTTCAGGCATATTCAGTGGGTTTTAAATTCACGATTTCGTCATTTAGATAATGTGTTCTATGCTAAATTTTACATATTCACTGGGTTTTAATTTAGCGCATTTTTCAGTCAGCGAAATAAGCTTAATTAAAACCCAGTGAATAATTACCCCCTTTACAGTACAATGTTGTTTTTTGGATACAGATAAAGTAGAGAAACTATGAGCAAATGAGTATTAATAATAAAAGTCACATAAAATAAGATGGTTTCAGTATAGAAATCAGACAATTTTGTAAGAACATTGTCTTCTCGTTTCCATTCCATTCATCAAATCCCTGACTTCCCATATCATTGAAAAATAACATTATGCAGACAGGACAGTTACCAATAACATCTACCTTGATGCTTTGAAAACACTCAGGAAATGGGGTAACTATACGACTACATAAATTGGCAGTGGCGATGTGGAGTAAACTATACATACATGATCAATGTAGCATAGTACAAAGCCGTGTCCAGGATCTTCACTTTCAGGTATAAATACATGGGATCCTGTTTTCACTCACGAGAACTCTCTGAATGACATCGACAATCGAGGCACATTTCACAATAAGAGTGATTAAAATACAAAAAGACAATTTTATTATTTGTAACTTACACTTCTGGTTCATCTTTTGTGATAAAGTCTTCCAACTGTTGAAAGTCAAAATCTGGGTCAATGGCACCTGCTGCAAGGAAAGAATACAGATGAGGACAATTAATAGGGTAACTCAATTGCCATATTACTATGGGGCAACTTTATTTAAGCACAAACTTATACCAAAAGTTAGAATAGAACTTCAACCCACAATTTAGCACTGCGCACACGTGTATCAATAATATGTAATTTTTTGTTCTTAAATAATGTATAGCGATCACTGCATATTTTTTGTATCTGAGTGATAAACCACCCAGCTGCCAGCAAAAAGAAGAAATTCAAAGTGAATCTTATCCTATTATAGTGAATAAGCATCGAATAATGATGGTAATGATTGTATCTGAAGTGACAGTGAAATACAGACTGTCAGTATAACATACATTTACTCTTGTATTTGGCTACTAAATTTTTCACTAAAGTTTTTTTTAAATGGTTCGTAATCGGCAACATACGCTGACACTCCTGCAGTCTGTATATCATTGTCACTTCAGATACATTTGTACAATTGCTTCGTTTACCATCATACGATGCTGATTTACTGGTACTAAAATTTCAATTTGGTTGCCTGTGGCCACGAGGGAAAACTAAACATTGCAGGCTTGAAAACAGATATTTTCCCCTCATAAACCTTGACCTTCATGAAGCACCTAGACTAGGGAAATGCAAATTACAGCTTTTTTATCTACAAAACTGAAACTAATTTATTTATTATATTATTTATTCTGCCAACAAATAATAAGACCTCATCACGACGGTAAAGTACTTTCAAGCCAGGTATTTATGTATACGATAAAATAGATTGCCTTCACAAGTCTATATAATACTTTGGACTTATTAAAATTTAACTTTTTATTATGAAGTTTTGTACAGGATGTCATGTAAAATTTAATATTTTATTATGAAGTTTTTTGTCATGTCATGTAATATGCAGAAAACATGATTGAAATTATTTGTTATCAATGATAGCTCACACTGGAATGTGCGATACTTGTTCACTACGTCATCAACAGATCACAAGCAGAAGCTGATTTAATTGAACATACACGAACAGTAACTTGTACATACATTAAACAAATTAAAACAGTTTTAAATTGGTCAAATAAAGGATTATAGAACTACAACTGACAAGAAAAAAAAACATGAAAACAAACTGATATAAAAAAATTAAACAATTATTAATTCAGAAGACAAAAACAAAAAACATAAAGGTTAGGTATCGGACAACAGTAAATGTAAATAACAATTGAAACTAAAAAATATTCAGACTACATAGTATTTGTCGGTAGGTACATATACAATAACTTTATGCTTAGCAAACTCATTCAAACATGTATGACCATATTCAAACCACATATGAACAACAGGCTCTGCCCCAAAAAGTCAATAATTTCATATTGACGTCACATCCTGTGAATGACATCATTATTATGTACTATTCAAGAATGGTTATTTTAAAATAAATATTGATATTAAAAAAAATTATTTTATTATCAAGGCTGAGAAATTGTATAATATATAGTAAAAAAAGATGATATCCGATGTAGCTCCACTGTTAGTGATGTACATTTTGCAAGTAATCTGTGTACCACAGCCTAAGAAAGGAGTCATGTGAGAATCAAAGTGAATCGAAGGCATGGATTTGATGGGAGATACACATGTATGAATAATAACATAATTAATAGTGTATTGATCAAGAATCCAATTAGATGAATATAAGTCTACAATTTTCATAATGCACAAAATGAAAGCCATCTGTTCAACAGTACCTTAAGTTGACAACATTGTTTATCAAAAATGACAAAAATATTTTTTTTTAAATAGAAAATTGAAAATGTTGTCACAACATATCAACAACTCTGTGGGGTCCACCTGAGGTACCTTTATATTAATAATTAAAGCAAAATGACTTGAGGTTTTCAAAAAAAATTTAAAAAATCGTCACCAAATGAACAAATCTTAGAGAAAGTACACTTGAGGGACCTATATATTCAATCATAATTCAGTTTAAAAAAAAAACGAAGCAAAGGTAAATTTGTAGTGATTATGAAATCCAGACAGCTGATCATTTTAGAAAAGAAGTCAAAAAAGTATTGTTGACAACAACAAACAATCTGTAATAAGAAGGCCAGCTCTGCTCTGTCAAGCAAGTCAGCAGCGGAGCAAAAAAGTAAGGGAGACTAAAAAGGTGTGTATTCAAGTGCTGAGGCATCACTGTGAGAACTACATGCATTTTGCTGCACAAACCACTATAATTTTGCAGGAGAAATTGTTTTCGCAAATGTTGTGACAGTGACTGGTGTCATTAATAAACAGAAAATAACAATTACATGATTAAAATGACAACAGGCAACAAAAGACAGATAAATCTTGTAAACCTTGTATCCCATCATTTTATGGTGATTTTTAGGGTTTGGTTTCGTGTTTTTTTAAACTTTTATACTTTTCTATATACATATGCATATTACATTTTGAAAATAGCAGTTATTAGTGTCCATACTGTTGTACTTTTTTCAGTTAGTGTTGTGGCAAATAAATATAAATAAAATGAATCATCATTTCATTGACATTTCCAGAACTATTACGGTGAACATTTGTTGAAACAGTTGGAAAAAAAAATACAAAAATCAGGTTCCTTTATTAAAAGTTCTAAAAATAACACGGAGTATCTTCAATGGATTTGTACAAAACGACTTGACGAAAAGTGGGTGGAGCACAACCAAATTAGACGTTTCCGATAGAAGTTCAAGTTTAATTGTAAATAATAATTCATCACGCAAATAAAGCTAAAGTTTCGTTGACAGAACAGCATAATACAAAATATATTTGTAAGTCGTAGCAAAAAAAAAACAATTCCACAGCTTGTACCTCACTGACCTGTAACATGAACTTTATATATGGTACGATAGCCATTTTACGAGAAATCGGCATGGTCCAATCCAACAAGTAGTCAAAAAACTCATGGTAGTGTCAAAATGTGTTCTTCATTTTTAGTATAAATGTCAGGCCAATATACTACGTAATAACAGTTACTCTAAATCACGCGTATTCCGAAAAATATTACAATATAACGTGGTGTTTTCAACTTTGTTTACATAAGTTTTACATATTTTGTGCAGGCTACAAGCGGTCATTTTTCTTGCGACAGCCCCAGGGTTTAGTCCAAACCTCGCGAAAACACGGCACAGTGTAACAACTACGGTACACCATCTTCAGCGGAGAATGGTTTCGATGTCGTTTGTGGTCATAAAGAAATAACGACGGTTGATAAACAAATTCGTCAAGGAAGAACGGGACACTAAGAAGATCGCCATATTGGATAGCTAAAAACTTAGGCCCTATGTTACTAAGTTCCACTTACCTAAGACAGCATTTAGTGCCTCATTCTCGTCGATAACATCCATGTTGACCCAGCATGAACGTCAACTCCCGTAATTTGGCGATAAAATATGTAAAAACAGACGGCTATATATCAAAATAATGTGTTTTTTTCCATAGTCAAGTCTTCTTTTCGAGCTATTGCTTTACGCACAAACTTGATTGATTGGTCATGTGAAAGATGAAGAGGGGCGATTCCATTTTGTCTGCGGGGTAGATTATTTCTCTTTATATTATTCATTTCAGCAATATTTGTTGTTTGGCAACTCTAAGTAGCACACAGACTACAATATTTATGCATAATATCATGATCAATAAAATAGTTTGGTTCATCAGAACAAAATAAGCTGGCTTTGGGTCGAGTCGAAAGTTTGCTCATGACGTCACAATTTCGATCAAAGGTTCCATCGCAGGCTGGCGCTGAAAACAACTTCCTGTTTAAAAAGTTTACCGTAAAGTGTGTCAACGAGAAAAGTAGCAGAAGCAGATGTTCAAAGTTGGCGAATTCAGTGTAGTATCATTGTGATCTACATACTAACTCTCAGTAGAATTCGTGAAATAAGAAAACAATACGTTTATACAAGCGCGGACATCCAAACTGTCTCTGAACTGTCTCAAGCGAAATTTGTGGGTTACAATTCCCATAATGCAATTCTTACCAAAAAAAATGGCGGCTTCCGTGTCTTTTGTAGGTTGTTCGATGTTGTCTGCTGCCGCACAAGATTACTGACAGTAAACAGTTACAGGTGAATTATTCAGCGGCATATGTTGTTATTGAAACCACAGTCCCTCTATCACCGGTCTCGAAACGACCACTGTCCTATTGTCCTATTGCGCGTAGCGGGTAAATAAACCATTGACACCTATACGTAATCCGCAGTTGACGCAACTTGTCAGGGGTCATCTTCAAGTTGACCCGCATATCATTTCCATTAATGATTTACCCGATAGAGGGACTGTGTTGAAACACTGTATTTCGCTCTACAAATGTGCAGTCTATGTCAGGAAAGCTCGCGGTGGTGATACCTTACAAATTTATATTGGGGAGAGGAGGCACAGGCGCTCGGTGCGTTTCTTGGACAATAAAAATGACCTATTAAAAGTAGTGTCGGTATACTCAAAGGCGCTCGATACCTTTCTTGAATAATAAAAAAAGAACCTAAAGTAGAGTCGGTATACGTAGTCAGTCGCTGGCGAATGTAGCGTATAATGTATACCAGCCCTACTTTAGGTCCTTTTTTATTATCAAAGAAACATACCGAGTGTCTGTGAGAAGAAGATGTCATTTCAGGGCTGAAAATCTCCGGTATCCCAATACCTCGACCAGTACTTTAAATACCAGTATGCAAAATCGGGGGGGTGGGGGTAATAAATACCGGTAGTACTGATCGTATAATTTTGATTTCCTCCCTGGAGCGACAGGGAGGGGTCTGTGCATGTCATGATAAGTAACACTCTGTACTACCGGTACTGAGGACAAAGGCATAGCAGGTTAATTCATTAACAGCTTGGCGCCGAAATTGGATAAAAATAGGATTTGAAATAAGCAGTTTCATTTATTTTTGACATTCAGAAGTAAACTGGAATTGATCACATTTTTTTATTGTTGCCGATAAATTATATATTTGTCGACAAATGTGGCAAAATCCAATCTTTTTTTGAAGCAAAATGTTCCCTACGATACATAGGTCATAGCAATTATCTTTGTGGCAACTTGTTCACAATTGTGTGTACATAAGGAAATGTGCAGAAACTTGCGTGCTTATTTTTGGTATATTTTCAATCCAATGCTATAGTTCTATTCCAATGCCAATTTCATGCTGCTAAATTTTCTAGAACATGAGGATCTTCTTATGTAGTACCAAAGGAAGGTTCAATTATTCTTTCATAATTAATACCTGCTACATAAAATTACAAATGTTCAGTGGTATAGCTTCAATTCTGTAGCTCTTGGTTTCTTTGTATGTTTTATTTTTTAGTTCCTGTTCAATTGGACGCAGTCCAAAAACTTGGACTTGTGGATTGAAATCTGTGCGTCCATGCGTCTGGACCTATATCTTAGACAGGGTTGGACCCATTACTACCAAACTGCACCCATACATTGTGCATAATATTATACATATGCACATCAATTTGTTTCACTATCAGATTAAAGATGGCTGAATGGCGGCCTTTTTGTGCTGAAAAATGATAATGGCATTCCAGAACCGGATCTGGACTGGACTGTTTACAGGTAGATTTTGTTTAAACCTGGTACATACATTGGACATTATGGGACCTTGATGCACATCATTTTATTTTTCAGATCGTATTCAAAATGTCCGCCAGTCAGCCATTTTGTTTTAATGAAAGCGGTTCTAGTGCCATATCTCTGACATGCTTTTACTGATAATGTCAAATTTTATGTATTCATTATACATCATATCATAAACATACAGATATATTGGTTTGACATTCCTATATAAAATGGCCGAGTGGTGGCGATTTTGTTTTAATTATTGCTGTTCCAGAGAAATATCTCTCACTATGGACAAGTACTTGTTTGATGATCAGATACAAGATGACATGTCATGTCAATTATTTGAATGTAAAAAATCATCATACTCAAGTGTCTGGATCCATATCTTTGACATGTTTATGTTCAACTATATCACTGTAAACAAAACTATATATCTTAAATTTGATAACTAACAGGGAATGTGCCATGCATGGCTTGTTTATTATACATACTGTGGCTGCAAAATGCTTTCCTATTGGCTGATGCATGTGAGGCTTTCTCTCCCAAATGCCGCAGCATTGCAAATTAGCTACAATAATGCCCCCACAAAACCTATGAAGTAGTATGTTTGCTTCAAAGTACTGTAAATTATTTATTTATTCACTGGTTTTTAATTTTGCTCTTTTTGCAAGTAAAATTTGCTAAATTTATGAGAACATATAGAATAACAATAGAACATGTACCCATCCAAGTTTGTGATTATAAAACCCAGTGAAATGGCTCAAAAAATCAAAATAGTGTATTCAGTATTCGGCTTCATATGATAACACTAGAGAAAAAACAGTTTTTGGTTTTATGTTGAAACATCCTCCCATGTATAGTGGTTTTAAATATTGCTGCTGCAAAATGAGCACAGTGTAAATATACATGTATTTTAAGTACAATATTTAACAACACACATAATATATAACAAATGACTTTGCTAGATTATGCATCTTAAAACGAGTGATTGACACATAATCTACCAAACCAGTTTATTAACTGACGAAATATTTGCAACTTTTTGTGAAAAAATAACCATCTGTTATTTTCAGTATGTTTTGCGTTTGTGTGTTTCTTTCATTCAAGCAGTGTCTCTAATCTTAAATATGACTGGGCATGACGTGACGATTGTACCATTTGGTCTAGGCAACCTTGCGTTGATTAATATCGATGAAATACCACAGAGAACTTTGAACCATTTCCGAGGAAAATCTATTAAAATGTTGACACCTCTGCTGAACTTAGAATTGTTCTTGCAATGTGTGTTTTCAATTGCATTTGCAAAACAAACTTTGAAGCTGGGACATTACGGATCATAGCCGAAATGTGACCTACTATACATCAGGTTTTACACGAATTTATGTATGATTCCTTTGTCTCGCTCAAAAATAAAGTATGACTTATAACTCGTGTCAAATCCTGGATTCTGATTGGTCAACAGGTCTAGTGGTGTGATAAGTATAAAATGGCCATGCATCAAGCTGTTCTATACATACCGGTAGTGGATTTGTATCATTTTTACACCTAAAATAAGCTTACATGTACATTGTACTTTCTTCACATATGGGAATCAAACACAGTATTTAAAACCACTATATGTTAAATTTGTCAGTAGTAAATGAGGAACTTATAAATTGTATGATACCAGGGTCAAGGTGACCAAAGTCAGGTCAGGATGGTTAGGGGCCAAGCTGACCTGCTTTCCCCTATCTCTACTAGACATCATTTCATAGTCTGTTCATGGAGGCACTGAATAAATGAATATAAATATCTGCATAGTGGTAATCCATGACGTATTTTTTGTCATATTTCATCCAGTAATTACGAAGAGTAATAATAAAGCATGGCATGACAAGACAAGTATGGCATGAGAAGAAACAGTATACCTGTACTCACTAAACAAAATTAGTAGTGTTGGTTCAAATCAAAATCTGTTCTACTCTTGACACTTTAGCTGTAATGTAGTTTAAATTTGTCATTATGTAATATGTAACTGCATGCACTCCAAATGGAACAAATATGATAACTACTGTGAAGTACTTTATTTTCACTGAAGGGGGTGCTTCGGTGAAAATTAAACCAAGCGAATAAACCTTTTTTCCTATATTTCACATTTAACTCATCAAAAATCAGTGAAACTAAAACTCCATACTTGGGATGAAACATTGTATTTCATAGTCAAGTCATTGCCCTGGGGTCAATTACGTATGGTTCAATATGGCTATGGGGTTTAACTAAAACATGGTTCAGGATATTATTTTTCAAGCGTTTCATGTCTAGAATGCACTGTTCTTAACAAGTCCTCTAGTATTTTGCTATTATAAATCTGGAATCAGCAGACATAACCATTTATAGTCATCTGTCCAATGTCCATTCATAATTAAGATGATTTTTTGAGGAATTTTTGACTCCCATGTGCGAAGCACAAAATGGGAATCTTTGCAGTTAGTGTGTCTGTATGTGTGTGTGTGTGTCCGACTGTTCCACTGCTATCTCAAGAACCATACATCGGTTTTTGATGAAACTTGGTGCATAGATGCTCTGGGCCAATGCGCAGATTTTATTAGGTTTTGGTAAAAATCCATGCTTGTTAATTACCTAATTTGCATGATAATTAGCTAATTTTTAGCTATTCTATGACTGTTCCACTGATATCTAAAGAACCACTCATTGGATTTTGATGAAACTTGGTACATAGATGCTCTGAACATGTGCGCAGATTTGATTAGTTTTTGGTAAAAATCAGTGCATATTAATTACCTAATTT